ACCAGACACAAACCAGATTTTGGAGACTATTTTGCGGTCCAGTTCGCGGACCACACAACCTGTCTGTGATGCATTCCGTGATCGCGGATTTGTCTCGAAGTGTAATTTTGAAGAATTCCCTAACCTGACTCTATTTCAATATAAGACTTAAGAGGGTCGTTTATGTGGGAGAATTAATTTATTTTTTAGAGAGAGAATACTCTAGAAAGATGGGAGGAGAACTATAACACTCTTACTCTTCAATTCTTGCTCATCTCTTGAAGATTCAAGGAGGCTACTCACAAGGTCTTCCACCAAATAGGTAAGGCTTTATCCCAAGCTCACATGAAATGTTCTACAATTAAATTATGAGTATGATTTTCATGATGGGGCTTATGGGAGGGTGATTAGAAGCCATAAGCCTTTACATTTCAAATTTGGGGTGCATGAGAAGAATGTGGGGTATGGCTCTTGAGTTGGGGATGAATTACTGAGCATGCATGTGCGGTGAAGGTGTTTTGACGTTGTTTAACTAGTGTGGGTAAGTTGTTGTTTGAAATTGGTTGTGGGATGAAGGATTTCCATCATAGAACCTTGCAGTCGATTTCGCCTATTTGATGTTTGATGATATTCCAAAAAGGGCTAAACCTATGAGCACCTTCCTAATTATGGTTCAATTTGACTATGTTTCTATAGATTGAAGTTGCTAAGGGTAGTGGGACATTATAGATTGAATTTGCTAAGGGTAGTGGGACATTGTAGTAATCCTAAGGAAAGCTTAATCAAGGTATGTTGGCTAAACCCCTTCCATAGAATTGGACTCTATGATCTCCGTATAAATTCCATTTATGGTTTTCCAAGTTCCTATTCTTATTATATCAAAGTGCCACAAATAATTGATGTATCAAATGTTTATCTACCCAAGTCATGTTTTAAATGCTCTCATCATAACATGTTCTCTCTTTGAAAATATTTCAAGTATGATTGGTTTATTAGCCGCTTATGAACTCAATCCATGATTCCATTAAAATCACTATGCTCTCCTTTTGTGATTATTTCCAATGTGTTTTGGGCTCTTATGCACTTATGAGTTGAAGATATTATTTTCCCAATGTTTTTAAATGCTCTATGATGATCCATGACAAGAAAAGGAATGAAAGTATGAAATATGAAATATGGCTCATCGTGCCAAGAATGAAGATTAACAAGTATGACCAAGAGTGCCAATGAAATTAAAGATTTTATGAAAGGCTATGAGATGAATATAATTCTTTTATATGATAAATGTTTCTAGGAGTATCGTTAGGTTACCGAGGAAGGGTAGGTTGTAAAGGCCTAAGCCCGAAACTACATGTACCGGTGTAGGAGATAATTGAGGGATAAATTTACGTTTATGATTTGTTGAGATTATTCCCATTGATTGGGATGGATAGCTAGCAAAGACAGCTCGTGACTGTTACACCCTATGTTTTCGTACGTAAGAGTAAGTCGTAAGTCAATTGATGTAAGCTCGAAAATAAGATCATCTTTGAAAGTACATAAAGTAAGTTAATCATGTTACCTTGGAGGTTAAAAATATTTAATATCATCAATTGCAAGTACCAAGAGGGTTGAAAGGTTTAGAAGCTAAACAAATCGAAAAAAATAAGTTTCGTCGAAAGTCGGCAAGTTGGGAATGTTATAACCCATACTTTTGGGGTGATACTAGGGTGCTTAACATGATAATGAGGTGATTTTATGAGTTATTTTAGTCGTATTATATTCGTGTGTTAAGTTTTGAAGTCAAACGAGTTGTGAAACAAAAGTCGACAAAAGTTGCCATAAGTTACGTTCATAATTTTACTTAATATTTAGGTCTAATGTTACTGAGAATTTATCTCAATGTGATTGGAATTACAGGCTCATCCACTAACCAAATTGAAGATCTACGAGTCTAGTTTTCAATGCATTAAACCGTTTATCCATACGACGTTGGAATGGAGAGATATTCACATTTTTGCGAGACTGTACAAGCAGCTCCCTTTGGGACCCACAAGATCGATTGAAGATTATCTTGATATATATAAAGTTGTACCTTTCGCCTCTAAGCTTCATTTCGACCCAAATCAGACCAAAAACTATCTCCAGATCTCCTAAACATATCCTTAGGGTTCTGAAGCAAGTCCATCATCCACAACTCAAAAACAAGAAGCGAACACATCAACGTGATCCTTACGACATAGGTAAGACTTTGTTGTCCTCCTTTCTCCTTATAACTCAAGTTTTGGAAATATATTTGTGGCTAAGGAAGATTTTCACCTCTGTATTTTATCTATACAATCATAATTAAGGGTGTGGTTCAAAGGGAACAAGGTTTGGAAGCAAGAACACAAGAGGTATGTAGGGTTTTCGTTTCTTTTTTGGCATGATTTGGTTTAGCTATGTTCTAAGTTTCTTATTGATTCTTTAAGAGTTGTTCTAGGGAAATTTCAGCTTGTATTGTATCCTTGTATAGTATTCAATTCCATATATGATTTATGGAAGAAACTAGTTTAGGTTGGAACTTCAAAACACAACAAAACCAAAAATGGGAGAATCGCCCATTTGGCCTATGTCATCCGGACTTCCGTTTGTTCCGTTCCTTTGATGTTTTTATGTATACCTAACCCCTCATGTGATCCTAATTGCTTCATTTAAGATTATATAAGCTTAATTATAATGTGTTCATACTTAGATTATTCCTAAATCATATTTATACTTTCATATCACAAGTTAGCCAATATGAGTCAACATGACATTCACAATTTCATTTTGTCGATTGTTTGACACCATTGTGGATAAATGGATGTCATTTAGTTTGATGTTATCATCTTGGCAGGGTATCCATTTCCGTGTATATTGTAGTGCTTGCTATTATTTTTGGGGATCATCCATTTTTAGGAAAAACTCTACCGAAATTTTTGGAAATTTGAAAAGTTTGACAAATCTTGAGTTCCTTGGTTCTAAATTAATTCTAGAGGGATCGTAATGAGTTAATTAACCTTAGTATCTCATGTACATACTCGGTTTATCCCTAAAATGGGGGAGATATACCATAAAACCAGTCGGGTCTATTGACTATATATTTACCTGCTGAGGAGATATATCACATAACGCCAATCATGCATGTTATGTACGCGTATATAGCTACAGTTTGAATCGCATGACTATACATGAGGCTAGTTCAGTTGTATAGTTACCTGATTGGGGAAAAATAGCCCATAACACCAGACATGTACCAGTTCAGATAATTGTTTAGTTTCAACACAGTTTCAGTTTAAACTTCAGTTCAATTCCAAATCAGTTGCTAGTTCAAACTCTTGTTTAACTTTCAGCTTATATTCAGATTTCGAGCTTACAATCATACTTTAGTATGCTTTACATATGCTTTCTATCCTACATACTTTGTACATATCGTACTCACATCCTTTCCGGGATATTGCATTTCATGTCGCGCAAGTAGAGATAGATCAGCGCTTGAGCCACATGAAAAGGCTATCCACCAGCTGTTGAAGTCATTTCGTTTACTCCCGGAATTGCTTATCTTTTGGAAGGTGTACAGTCAGCTAGTTTGGTTATGACGGGGCCATGTTCCGTCGAGTACTTGCTTAATTCAGAGGTCTGTAGATATGCACATGTGCAGTTAGTGTGTTTATATATCAGCTTGTGTTAGCCTTGTCGGCTTTCCAGATTGTACAGTTCTTATCAGTTATGCTTATGTTTGTTCAGTTTATCAGTTATATTCATGATTAGTAAATTATCAGTAGGTTTAGTGATGATCGGCACTTAGTGTCGGTTATCCATCGCGGCACTAGGCTGGGTCGTAACAGTGACCATGTTGGGCAGATTATTATATTGAGTATGTGACCACGCCGGACGGATTGTGATATTGGCACGGGAGTTATCTGCGCAACACATGAGTTGTCTGCGCGGTTGTGACTGATAAAGTGGGCACGAGGTGCCATGTGTATATGATTCATGATTTGAGACTCGTGATTTGTGATTATGAGGTATGATACCTCGGGGTGATTCTTGTTGTAAATCTTGTGTCAGGGCGGTTTGATGATTAGAACTATCGTTGTTTTCCCTTAATTGCTTTCACTTGTATTTTATTTGTGCTTTGATTATTTTTGTTGTTTTATCATATGATTACCCTTCATTGCCATTTATTTTCTTTACTTTTCCGTTGTTAGTTTTATATTGATATTCCGTACAGGTTATTTGACTAGTGAGTGTCTTGACTTGACCTCGTCACTACTCCATCGAGGTTAGTCTTGATACTTACTGGGTACCGATTGTGGTATACTCATACTACACTTCTGTACATTTTTGTGTAGATTCAGGTACCTTAGAGCAGGCATTAGCGAGCTATTTGTCAGAGTTGTTGTGGATACTTCAAGGTATACTTGCATGTCCGCTTGCAGGCCTCAGAGTCACCTTCTATTGATTCTTGTTATTGTTTACTTTAATTCCAAACAGTGTTATATTTAGTGATTTCTAGTGCACTCTCAGTAGAGCTTTTGACTCCGTACTACCAGTTTTGGAAAAATGTATAACTATGATCGTTTTAGCTATGTATGTCATTTACTGGTTTATATTTAATGGTTTAAATATATTAATAAGTCAGCATGTGCTAGGCTTACCTAGTTCTAGGGACTAGGTGCCATCACAATCCTTAAGGTGGGATTTTGGGTCGTAACTATAAGTTTCAAAAGTAGTATAGATAAGAAAAAATCTCTTTTATAATTGCAATGATCCTCTTTGTTATTCCATCTTATTTGATTTGCATGCTTACTATATGCAACTAATTACCTTTTAAATTTATTTCTTAAAACGACGTGTAAAGGAAAGTGAAAAATTTCTGGAAGATGGTCGACCAAGGGTATATCTGTAATTTCATCTTATTTAGCTTGAATTTTTATTGCTCATACGTCAAAAAACACGTGTCCTTCCTAATATTCTTCATCTAGAATTCTCTATAGGTTAGTCCTCCAACTAGCTTTCTTTCACCTTTTTTACTTTGTCCGGTGTCTATCATTTGAGCTTCTATCTTTTTCTAATTTTTGTTATACCACTGTGGTAGCCCAGTGGTTAATCTCTTCTTACCCATAGTTGAAGACAGAGATGAGTAGACGAGGTATGTGCCAATAAGTTTATTTCTTTTCAGTTCTTTCCACATTTTAAGCGTAGACTACTACAAAGGGAATTGTTCAAGCATTTGGACTGCTTCTCTTATTAAATAAATAAAATAGAAGATCGAAATTCGACTCAAGGTGGTGGAATTGGTGACAGATTGTGCTCTTGATATAGGTGGTTTAATGAATTGAGATGGAATCAGATTTCGAATGCAACTGTGTTTCACAATTTGGGATAAAGTTGTGTGCTACTGCAATATCTGTGCCGATCAAAGAAAACGTTCAGCTTGATTCTTGCCGGTAAATTGCTATTTTAAAAGTGTTTCTGTATTCTCATTTGTTTTCTTTATTTATTATATTAATTAGTTAAAGGTCGATTCTCTGCTAATTTTGAGGTGTAACCGCTTTGAAATTTTGATTTCTTTTGAGGTATATAACTGGTGAAATGTTTGATAATCGCTGATTGAAATTCTGATGTATAACCCCCCTTTTTAGATTTGTCGACATTGCCCAACTGCTTTGCGCATTGGTTCCTCATCTATGCTCTTATAGTCCCGTTCTTTCCCTGACCGAGTTTTTTCTTTTCCATTATTTCTCTTTTATTTTATCTTCAAACATCCTCTTGAATGAGGTTTGAAGTTGATCCCTTGATCCGAAATGACAACTTTTTACTTTACTTCCTTTATTTGTTATTTCAACTATTAAAATATTTTCAGGAGTTGCATAATGTGCTTTCGTTGTCAATATAATCGATATGGAGTATGGGAATTTAAGATTATAAAGGTGATAACTTGGTAATTAGTTTTTGAATCACTTTATAGTTTACCGGAAAAAATAAATGAGAGGGGGGTATTTTCAGCTTGCACCTTTAATGTACTAACATACATTAGCTCTGGTCAGCTAAGGTAGCAGGAAGACTGTGTAGAAGGTCGTGAGACTATAAAACACTCACGACATGATTGTTTTGCAAGAAACTTCATTGTGACTAGCTGAACAATAAAAGCTTAAAAAGCATCGAAAAATAATCAATAAAACATCATGAAAGCTAGATATGGCTGACCAGCCGCAGTAGGAGCAACATCAGGAATGCCTTTGAAGAACGATTCTATTATGCCGTGTCCGCATTCAGATTGCATATGCTTAAAATGTTTCACTACTAGTACCAGAAAAGGATATTCTGACTTCAAGCAAGTATATATGAATAGATCAACCTGTTAACTTCAAGCAACCATCTTATAGTAAAATTTGTTTAATTCATTTCAGATGTAATTGAAAGCACAAGTATTGACATATTTCGCTTTTCCTTTCTTTTCTTTGGCACGTCGTATAATACTAATCCGCTATCCGAATTACAAAAAAAAGGAATAACTTATCAGTAAAATATTAGAGTAGTTAAGAATAGTTAAAGAGGAGAATAATAAGTGGGAAGAATAAAATATGTTCTTAATCCATTTGAAACAGATCTTAGAGTCAAATAATATGCCAAACATAAGACTCATCAACTGAGATCTTTCTCCAAAAGATATCAACCAGGATATCTTCCTATGATACTTTTTAATTCAACTGAAACATTTTCCAAAGAATTTTGAGGAAAATATTGCAGAGGTCATAAAATTTGGCAAAGTGGACGATTGACAGTTACAGTGGTGGCAATTATATGGAATGCATCTGTAAGTTCATGTGGAAAAAGCATGATGGAAGTCACAGTTCTTGTGCTTTCCCTATGAACACGATTCTCCCTTTGGGGTGAATTCCTGCAACTAACAAGAAAATGTTAATATTCATTTAAATGCAAGAACTATTTTTAGTAACTATTGTTATTAAAAATCATTCAACTCTCTACTTGCTGATTTTTCTTTCTAATCCATTCTAAATTTTTAGGTGTGCAATGATGGAAATGCGTGCCTGGTCTATATGAACTAAAATCCCCGGTCAGTCAATAAAGTTTCAAGATTTTTATTCGGAGATTAATATCATCACTTTCTATATTTCAATTGCTCATGCACAAAGATGTACTAACTTTTTGTGAATCAATTGATATGTTGTGATCAAGTTAAAATAACACGTTGGTGGAGCTTTTTCTAAAAGTAATAAATGTAAGTTGTCTTCCTACAATATTATGATAGGTAACAACCAGAGTTCTTTATAAAGTTTTTGATGGAAATTAGGTATGACTATTCAAGAAAGAGTTGAATGCCTACATTTGTACTTTGGGGTAAAGACTGCTCAGGGCCTTCTGAGCAAGAACAAAAGCCATAAACAAAAATAAGTTAATAGAATTCAGAAACTTCCTGATCGAGCCAAATGAGGGCTCAGGGAGAGTTACACATTAAGAAGAACTTTTGACTAACTTATTAATTTTTAAATTTTGTTTTTATGTATATTATGTATAAAAATGTGTATGACAATACTTGATTTGTTTGTTGATAACTTTGGACTTAAGATGTAAGCTATACTTCAAATGAGAGACTAAGCTCTTCTGAGAATTTTAAAGTTTTATTTGTAAGGCCATGAGAAGGAGGAATTTTAAAATTTTTATTTTCTTGGAAAAGCATGGATCTTCTGAGTGCTTGATTCTGTCTCTAAGTAAATTTTGGTAAATGGTACATGTTGACATGTGTGAAGATCAATCTTCTATTGTCTTATCCAGTGCTATATAAATATTCATAAGTTTTATCTGCACCTATTTTCATAATTATGACCATATATATGTCTCTTTCCTTTTGTTTCTTTGTCATTTGGGTCCTCCCGATTCCTTTTAAAGGTTAGCCATGATAACTATATTGTAGGATAAATTGCTTTCCATCTACTGAGTATGCTATTCTTAGTTTATTTGTAGGTTGTGCTTGATACTTCGATTCAAAGATTGGTGCCTCAACTGAGTTATTTTTAAGAAAAAAATCTGAAATGCTTGTGTGAAGAAAATTTAATCCGATGAAGTTTAGGGTGACATAAGAGACACAATGTGACGTTTTTCATTAGTTAAATGATTTTGTTTGCAAACACTTGTTCCTTTTATGGAAAGTGAATGCTATAGCTTATCACATTTTTGTCTCTGCACAAATAGAACGATTTTTTGTATTTCTACGGCACAAGATGGTGTGATGCATTTATTTCCTATTATTATTATTATTATTATTATTATTATTATTATTATTATTATTATTATTATTATTATTATTATTATTATTATTATTATCGCTAAAACAATTGTGAGAATTTTTGTTGGTGTGTTATTCTCTATCGTTTTGTTTCTTATTTAGTCAGATTGAGAAATAAATGCACATTTTATCCCAAATTATTGTTGTCTCCAATATCATCCATCGGTTTATCTTTATCAATAGCACTTGGAAACTAACTGCTTGAATTTTTGTTCTTTAATTTTACGGTTTGAGGCAAACTTAGAATATGGTACTTTGACTTTTATGTTGGGCCCGGGCTCTGCACGGGCATATACCTATGGAATTTTTACATTCTTATACACTATTTGAAACTTTATTATCCTCCCTACTCAAGTTTCAATTTAATTACATACTATATACAAATTTATCAATTATATACACTTTAGGAATTAAATGAGTATCTCTTTATATTAAGAATCAATTATTTCCCATCCTTATTTTCTCTCCCTCCTGCGCTCTCTCTCTCCGTCTCTCTCTTTCTCCTGCGCTCTCTCTCTCTCTCTCTACGTCTCTCTATCTCTCAATCCCTAATTTCAGTAATATAGAGCAAAGGGAAAGAGAGCAGCAATTCCATGCTTATTGAAATTTCAGTAATGTAGAGTTGAAGGTGTTGCATAATTGGTGTTCAAATTGAAATTGTCAATCAATAAATTTTGAAGGTGTTTGACTCTCCACCATTGACAGCCATTAAAAAGCTTTGAAGCTTTGAATTCGAATTTGGGTTTTCGAAAACCGTTATTTGTTTGGATTGGGTGTTGTTGCAAATAATTGGGAATATTATTTGGAGTTTATATCTCAATTTTGAGGGTGTTTTGGTGAAGATTAGACTTGATTTTGGCTGAATTTCAGATTGAAACTCGTCGAAGAAGAAGAAGAAGAAGAAGAAGAAGAAGAAGAAGAAGAAGAAGAAGAAGAAGAAGAAG